AGTCCTGTGCTTAACCAGTTTAACGTTGCAGTTAAGCTATGTGAAGCTATGCAATGCCCAGTATCTTACTAGTCCATTGAAGAAAAAGATGCTTGGGTGTTGCTATGTTAGCTGACAGGTCTGTTGTGGATGGAGCCAGATGGAAAAGAATTGTTTAATTGCTGTCTGTGTCGTGATACAGATGAGAGGGTCCAGTAGCTCTGTCTGTTCTCCTGGTTGCAGGATCTTAAGTGGGACCTTGTGTCGCAGCTGTAAGATTAAAGAGGTCTGCTTGGTGTCTGGTTTGACCAGGCCAAGCTGGGAGGCCGCTGTGGCCTGCGGTTCCGTCCAGATGAGGAGCAGAGCTGAGAGAATGGAAAGAGAAAGAGACAGACCTCGTGCTGCTGGTTTTGTCAATGAGATGTCTGAAGTCACAGGTCATTGACCAATCGAAGCTGCAGTCAAGTCAAGTCAAATTAAGACAACAATTCACTTTTGTTAGGTCCCAGTGATCCCAATAGATCCAAATGCAGGAGCACATACCGTTTTTGGTGTTTATTAAAGATTAAACAAATTGTGAATAGGCTTTAACAGAAATAGGGAGGCAAAATCCCAGAAGAAAATCCTAACTGAAGGCAAACAAATCCATGGGAGTTCAGACAGGCAAAATCGTGGTACAGGCCCCTGGGGCAGCAGGATTTGAGCTTATCGAGGTAACTTCGGGGTTTTCAGTACCACAGTGACAGTGGTTCTGGGGTAGATCTCCATGGTAACTTCTGTTGAACGGCTAACCTGCTCTGGAGCAGGTTATGTTCCAGATCAACAATCATCAAGAGATCAACTGAATGAAAACGCCGCCTACTGACCAATCAGATCTCTTTGGAAATGACATCACCATCTGTAGGAAATCCCACAGACTGTTTTATAGGTTGCTTTTATGTTTGCTGCAGTGATGTGAAACTTTTGTAGGCTAGCAATATCATCCTACAGAGACTGATTGTTAGCCTGGTAAGCTTACACTGAACATCTGGTCTGATTTTATCAATAGACATAAACTAGGAGAGGAGTGAGACCGTTGAGCTGGTTAGCCTATGATGATAGATTTAAACCAAGTTAGAACCGACCTGACCTTTAATGACTGGGAGAGAAAGGGAATTAAAAAATGTTTTTTTCTTCTTTGTTGTTTCTTCCCTGAATGTAGAATGAACAAAAACTTAGTACATACTACAGTTTAAAAAAGCCTTGTAAGCTTTGAAATGTGTTTTATATTTTTTATTTGCTCCCCAGTCCGTTTCACACAGCCTGTCGTTAAAATAAACGGGTTTCAGACGTTAAAATAAACGGGTTTCATTTTTCTTATGTGAGGCTGAATATTATGAGAAGTTTGGTAGGGATATTGAAATTAAACAACAACATCAAATCAACGCATTATTATAGAATACGCCTGTTCATTTGCGCATTCACACTGTTTCTGTCTCCCTGCGGGTGTCAGCTGCAGCTGTATTATTTAGACTAGGCTATGTGGTATCTCTGCAGTGTTACAGTTTGCTCTTTGTTTGTAAAATATGCCGCTCTGCTGCCAGTGGACTTGTTCATGTCTGCGATTGATCATCTGCTGCTAACACCGCCTCTTTTATGTGAACGCGCTCACGGCTCGATTGGGAAACCCTCGGTTGAGTTATTGAGTTGGTAACCAGCCTTGTGGGAATGCTTATCCAGATCGCGATTGTTAGGGTTAGTGAAGCCAGTGGCCTGTACTAAAAAGCGAGATAACTGGCTTATCTAGGTAACTTCAGGAGTAACTTTGTGACGTCAGGTGTAACTTCCCGGTTAACCCGTACTATGAAAGGTGGATAGGTGTTAACCGAGGTCTGTTTCCATGGCAATTTACGCTGCATCTCTAAACTGCTCCGAGCAGGTTTTGTTCGTGGTTAACTCGAGGTTACCCTGTATACGTGGACTAGACACCACATCCGTACCCAGTGTTAATGATGATAACTTTGATATTAATTTCACACCACTTAATAAAATATTTTTAGATTTCATCCTGACTTGTTCCACTGCGGTTACAGCTGAAATGACATTATTCTTCACACAACAGCATTACGCTCATACAGCGAGCCCTGCAGCCTCTGTGATTTGAGGGAGGAGATCTTGATTAATTAACGGGACAGTTTCTGAGAAGTGAATTATCCTAATTGTTGTCACATATTCAAATTGACTATTTTACATGCCCAAAAAATATGGAGCCATGTTGCGGGTTAATAGACCGAGAACACAAATCCTAGATGAAAGTATCAAATCAAAGAACAGAAACACCTATGACTGTGGGCTAATCTCACCTATTTCCTCACTGATAAATCCGATTGTGAAGCCTAACATAATTTTCCACCACATGCATAATACAGGAAAGGGGTGTGTGTGATGTTGCAGCCTTGGAAAGTGAAGCAATTTGAAAAAAACAACATTATTTTGCGAGTTTCTCTCATAAATGTATACAATGTCAGAGAATATATCCAAGTTTGTAGCTTGTTGTGATTATTAGTTTCTTTTAAATCTACCTCAGTAATCTTGAAAATTCTTTCCCCTTCTCCCATGGCTCCAATTTTTTTTATTACAGTGGACATAATGTGCAGTCGTATCTTTACATCTTAATGATATTGCACATAAATGAAGGGTCCATAAAATAGGCTACATAATAAAGAATTAGCCTACAATAAGAACACTGTGAAGATAATTACAAATTTACTCAATGCGATACCAACAATCCTCCCTGGCTTTGTCGGCTGACACAGTGTTAGATTTGGCTGTTATTGTGTCTTTAAACTCCTCATACCCTGACACTATCAACATGGATTCTTCTGGGGAAAATACGGAGCATGCGCCGTTGCGAAAAACTCTGTCTGCATGGCCGAACATGCCCTTTTATGCAAACGTGCACCAACTCCAATTAAGTTAACACCGACTCAACTAACCAACATCTTATTCACTGTTGTAGTACAGTTTAACCCCAGTGTAGGCAGTCAGAGTTTGTTAACCCTGAGTTTGCTTGATAACCCTGAGTTAACTCTGAGTAGGTTGAACTCCCTTTGTAGTACAGGCCACAGTTAATGAAAATATATCCTGGGTATGTTGAACTAACTTTGTGATACCGGCCCCTGGTCTATTTACATCTGTGTTTATCATTTTGATCTTGTCTGCACTGGGTTTCTATGTCATCATCCTTGTTTTAGTCTGTTTCACCATTTTGTCTGGAGTCTGTCTGTATTATCAGTTAATTAGTCTGCTTGGTTTGTTTTGTGGTTTGAGTGTTGTCGGTTTCCTGTCTTCTGTGCCTGTCTTCGTTCTTGTTTTATTCTGTTATTGTCTGGTGTTTCATTCATGCTTGGCTTCTGTCTGCCTGTCTGGTAAGTGTTAGTCTGGGTCTCTGTCTGTTTTGTTGTTTGGTCAGTTCGGTGTCTTGGGTTTCATGTCCTGATAGTTTTTGTTTTGTATTCTGTCTGCTTGTTTCCTGTTCTGTTTAGTTTTCATCTGTTGGGTTGTTCAGTTTGTTTCTGCATTAGGTCTGGCCCTGTCTTGTCTGATGATTGGTGTCACCTTCTTGCCTGCCTCTGTGTTCTGTCTGATGTGCTCCAACTGGTCTTGTTCCCGCCCTGCTCGTTACCTTGCATTTAAATGTATGTCATTTCTGTTCTGTCCTTGCTGGTCCATGTATACTTCACAAGGAGTATGTGCTGTGTCTCAATTCAAGTACTTCCTTTCCTTTCCTTTCATATACTAACATGCAGTACACTGCGTACACTATTTACTTACTTGCTTAGTGCGTTTATTTCGACAGGATAGCGTTGCCTCAAATCAAGCACTGCTGTTGTGCACTAACCAGAAATGACAATTGCAAGATTGTGCAATACCCCCATCACAGAGACCGCCAAAATAACAGCCAGGCTTTATTACCCCAAATAAATGCTCAGAATCGGGTTTATTGCCAAGTTCTAACTTATAAGCAATTTGCTTTGGTGTATTGGTGCATTAATAAGAATTACATAAAATAAAAGCAATAGAAAGCAAGTATTGTAACCACCACTCTACACTAACAATGTAATGTCTGTCTTAATAATAATGATTATAATAGCAAAGCAACAACAGTCCCCCTTGCATAATATTTCTGTGGTTATTTCTTTTTTCTCAAGTTTCACAAGCCAAGAATTTTCTGTACATCACCAGCCTGATTTGATTTAAATTACTCAAAATGTAATGACAGAATAAAAGTGGTATCAACATTTAAGCTATCTTACGGCTGTGGTTTCCTGTGCCGTTTTTGCTAGACTCGTCTGCTGCTTTGGCTGCAGTGGCATGTGTGACTGCAGGAGCAGAGGGCTATGTGAGATGTGGATTTTTGATTTCCATGAGCTGTAAGTTGTAATCATCAAGATAAAACAAAAAAGTTAACTTTCTGAAAAAGTTAACTTTTTGTGGAATCAATCTAGAATACATGAAAGTATTGCTTTTTGACTTAAATTCCAGGATAAAAAATTAACTTTTCCATAATATTGTAGTTTTCTGAGATGCACCTGTAGAGAGGATTGATTATTACAGACATGATGTCATTACACATGGGTATTTGATTTTGAAAGAAAATGTGAAATTTTGTGAACACAGGTGTGTGGAAGGGATCTTACAGTGGAGACCTTGAGGCAGGCATCTGTTATAACAGACACATATAGGTAACAAACAGTATTTGATAGGACACTATCTGTCACAGAGCCACAGTCACAGAGCCATATGGAATGCCCTGCTAAGTTATTTACCCTGGTTAAATAAACTCAAATTCCAAATTTATCTGTTATCTGCAAGTGTTATTGTGCTAAAATGAGCGTAATTTTCAGTGTTAAATAAGAAATACAAGTGTGTATATACAGTAAATATTTGTCAGACAGTTAATATATTATAGTTATAATATTGTTTCAACCTTTATCACCATTCTCCAATTAAAATGGTATTTGGACAGTCAAATCAAAAATTTAAAGGAGTTTTAAGTTTGCAAAATCACCTTGAAATACTTTCCCAGAAATTATCATTCTTAAAGCTGATCTGAACCAGGTGTAAAAGAAAGCATAAATAAATGGATTGAGCATTGAATTTGACAGTGTAAGCCAGTTAAGTGTTTCAATCACAGCAACTGGTGTTACATCATATGTTAGAGGCTGAAAGATGATAAACAGGAAATAAGGAGTCCAGCATAAGAGAAAAACTCCCATAACTACAGCCAGAGTTTTAGTGGCCTTTCTTTCCATCTTACTGACAGTTGCTCCAGACTTTGTACTCTGACACGTTGTGTTCTGAATGCATTTTGCCTGTCTTTGTGCAACAAGGAATATCTTCAGGTAGATACAGAGCAATATAATGACAGGGATATAAAAAGAGAAAATACATGCCAGAGTAGTTGATATTAGAGAATCAATTAAACAACTTTCTCCACATTTTCCTTGATTAAAACCTGCAATTACGATGCCAATTCCAATTAGAGCAGAAAATCCCCAGCTCACAAGGATCATGATCACAGTAACACGATCATTGATTTTACTTTTATGAGCGAGAGGCTGACACACTGCATAATATCTGTCAATAGAAATACAACATAAGTTCAAAATAGAAGCTGTGCTCAGTGTAACATCAAAGCTTCCTCGTACTTTACAAAATAAACCTTCATGATACCAACACAAGGTTACAGTAAATGCCATGCTGAAAGGAAAGACTAAAACTCCTACAAGCAGGTCAGCCACAGCCAGAGACAGGATGAGGTAGTTAGTAGGGATGTGGAGCTGTTTGAAGTAGATGATGGAGATTATTACAAGAAGGTTCCCACATATTGTGACAACAGACAATGAACCAAGAAAAATATATAATAATATACATTTTATGGAAGGGTTGGTCTTAAATACATATGTTGTATTATCTAATTCATAACAGGGATGTATGTCATTAACCGTGAAAGTCCTGTTGACAGTCAGTTCTGGTTCCATGCCTCTAGATTCCTGCAATTCAATGTTCCATTATTAAACATTAAATTCAGAAAATATTTAACATACTTGTTTAAAATACTGTTATTGATACTTACATCAGCATTTGTATCCACAACATCAGTGTTATTAAGGAACAAAGATAACTGGTTCAAATCAATAAAGACCTGTAGTTTTAAGAGTTTTTAAATCATACTATGCGCCTTAAGTTAGCCTATGCATCAGTGTTGAGGTGTGTCTCTGTTGCCACTGTGCTGAACATTTAGACTTGATATTTAAATAATCAGCCCCCACATCATTACCATAATAAATAATAATAAATTCAAAGGTCTGTCCAATCAGATGGTTGGACAGATGTTTGCATGTGATATGAGGAAAACAATGTTTATGTGTCCTGGCATCTGCTCTAACTTTTTAAATGTTTTTTAACTTATTTACTAGAAACCTGATATACTGCATAAAGATGCAGTGCAAAGCAAATATTTTTTTTTAAACTTGTGCTGCCCCGCAGCCTGATATACAGTAGAGGAGCTGGATATCATGTTGTGCCATACAGATTTAATATCCTTTGTCTGTGTTATTATTTATTTAATTATGTATTGATTTGTCACCTGGCTGGACAGGGGGGCAGAAATCGGGATGGGGGGCACACTCACCTCACAAACAGACACCACACATCTGCAAGAGAATGGGGAGGGAGGCTTGGGGCGGAGAATAAAAAACAAACAAAAAAACAAAGAGGCAACCAGCCGAACATCAGTAATAAACAGCTGACATATGAAAACAACTGAGGGAGCATGAAAAGGAGAAACAGTCAAGCAAAATAAATTAGAATTAGAATAATAACAAAATGTTTAAATAAATAACTTAATGAAAAGCACAAAGAGTAGTTCTACCTGTGACAATCATGGACAACTTAAGTTTGTTTCCAGGTTCATACAGTTAAACTGTTTGGAGTAAAGCAGCCGTCCCCAACTTGTCACTCTGTGTCTCTTATTTTATGCAGTTTTAGTAAACAAAGAAGTGGGGAGAAAGACCAAAATGAACAGCCTGTAGTCAGTGTCCCCTTACACCCCCACATCCCCACCCACCAACACACAACACACACACACAAGATGAGAGCAAAATTCAGCTTTAATAAAAGTATTTTTTTCAAACAGGGCCCTTTGTATAAATTCATATATAAATTCTCACAAATGTAGGTTACCTGTGACAGTGTGACAGAGTGTATGTTTATGGTTTAGAGAGTGAATGCATGAATACTAAGCTAACACTGACTGACATCCATCCATCGTCAACCACTTATCCTGCGTACAGGGTTGCGGGGGGCTGGAGCCAATCCCAGCTGACATCGGCGGGGTACACCCTGGACAGGTCGCCAGTACATCGCAGGGACACTGAGAGACAAAGACATTTAAATAGCAGTTTTTTCCTGGGGTTAATAGCCAAGTACATATGTAATTGCACCCAAGACGCATTGAGTATGGAGTGTAATCTATTCAGCAAAACCACCTCTGTGGGTGATCAGGGACACATTCTGACCACATCAAACACATGTTAAACTCAGTATAAAATACTAAAACAACTGAATGGAGTACACATTATGAAGAACGGTAGCAAGGAATGCCAGGCGAAACTAAAGTTTCACTTTCCAGCTGAGCTATTCCGTATCCCACTGAAGAGTGAGGATAATATAGGTGTATAATCCATGAAGGAAAACAAACCACGATGGAAAGAGACATTTAAGATTTTTATACTGTCTGTAGTTATAGAGCATTTTGTGGAGAGTCAGCATTGTTTATAATGCAGTGACTACATGACCGCAGCACGAGAGGCTGTTGACAGCAGGCTATACTTCAGTAGGCAACATCTCCAACCTACTTCTTTGGTGTTGCAGAAGCCTCCAGCTACGGGTGACCCCAGTACATACGCAGACTCAGGGGCATGTTGTAACACAGTGTCTTTATTGCACACACTGCCACACACACACAATTTCCTAAACAAAACTCCTTCCCCGGACCTGCCACATGCTTTCTAGCTTGTTCCCACTGGTCTCCTATGGGTAGGGGGTCCTTTACCAGAAGCCTGGGGGTTTGAGGGTTGTACGCAGTATCTTAGCTGTTCCTAGGACTGCACTCTTCTGGACAGAGACCTCTGATGTTCTACCTGGAATATGCTGTAGCCAGTCTCCCAGTTTGGGGGTCACAGCCCCCAGTGCTCCGATTACCACTTCCACCACTGTTAATCTTACTTTCCACAGCTCCTCTTTCAGCCCTTGGTATTTCTCAAGCTTCTCGTGTTCCTTCTTCTTGATGTTGCTGTCGCTTGGGATTGCCACATCTGTCACTGCAGCCTTCTTCTGCTTTTTGTCGATCAACACAATGTCTGGTTGGTTAGCCATCACCAGTTTGTCAGTCAGGATCTTGAAGTCACACAGGATTTTAGCTCGGTCATTCTCAACTACCTTAGGAGGTGTCTTTCATTTTGACCTTGGGACTTCCAGCCCATACTCATGGCAGATGTTCCTGTACACTATGCCAGCTACCTGGTTATGACGTTCCATGTACGCACTTCCTGCCTGCATCTTACACCCTGCTGTTATGTGCTGTACTGTCTCAGGGGCATCCTTGCACAGTCCATCTGCCTTAAAAAGATGTCTGCGGTCCCACAGAAAGTAAAAGTTTTTGATGAAATGCACTGAATGGACAGTACATGCCGTTGAGAGCCACGTGTTCAATGCTATTAATCTGCTGAATATCTCAGCTCCTCTTCGGATTGGCGGTATAGGGCCACCTCAGCATTCAAAGAGTTGACTGTGTTCAACAGATTATTAAAGTCCTCTTTCAACACTTCAGACTGTTGCTTCACAACATCATTGGTCCCGATGTGCAGTATGATGTTTTTCACAGTAGGATGTTCAGCCACGATATGCAGGATTCTTTCTGTCGAGTCAGACACCATATCCTTCGGAAAACAGAGTATTTTGGTGTTCTTACTGGACATGCTTCTTACATCGTTTACAGCAGAATCACCCACAATCAGAGTTTGAGGCCCAGTCGTTAGCTTTCCCTGCAGCCTTTTACTTTCTGATTTACTCTCAGTCCTTACCCTTCTGTGTGAGGACAGGAGGTTATCCAGGTCATCAGATGGAGATCCAGGGTCCTGCAATAGTGGTGAAAATTTGTTCTGCTGTTGCACACTCGGTTGATGGGGAGGTTTGTTGCTAACTCTCCCTTTCACAGCTGTCTACGGCTTTGTCCTACCAAGAAAAGGGGTTGAAGAGGCGCTCTGCCTCGATGATAATGCAGGCCAGCCAGTCGCATCACAAATCTCAGGTCGCTGGGTTCTGCCTGTTACTCGTCCTCCCATTTCCCCAGGAAATGATTTACTCTTAGGCTTTGCACCAAGAGCGTTCCAGGGAGGAATCCCACTTTTAGATTTATTACCCAGTACACAGGCCTCCTGCTTCTTGGTAGTCTTGTTGGAAGTCGTCCGTGGAGTAGTGCTAGTGCTATTGATAGGCCGCACTCACGTAGCACTAAGATCATAAAAGGTTTTAAAGTATGGCAAGAGCCTACTTTATCTGACAGTCCCAGTGATTTAAAAGTATCCAAGAGCTGTTGATTTCTAGCAGGAAAAGAATGCAAGGAGAGGCAAGAGCAAGCAGCAAAGCGTCTGCACTGTAAGAAAGCAGGAAGGCATGCTCATGCTAATGACAGCTAGAAGGTAATGAGCTATCAATTAACGATTAGCAAACACAAATATAAGCATGCTGTGTAATATGTGCATGACAGTCACTGTAACAATCACTAATAACGAGCATATGAGTATAAACAAAAGAGATATACAGAGCACAGAACAGTATCTAGTAGAATGCGGAAACACAGTTAACAGACTATTGCAAACTAGCAGCTAGCACTGTGTCACGTCCTTTAACTCTACACACTGCAACTACTAACTAAAACCACTCTTCTCTAAATATAAATATTAACGGTGTGTAACATAACATCAACAATAAACTCACGTTCTCATTGACTCACACGCACACTAAAAAGAGAACTGTCCATCAGAATACACCATAGTCTGTGAAGTCCAGCTGTCATCTGCTCCTCTGCATGTCTCACTCACAGCTGCGCTTTGGGGGCATGGTCAAAGTGGGCACACTAGTTACACATGCACAGAGCATGATCAGGCACAGAGATGTGTGGAGAGAGCATGCCCAGAAGCATGACCTTTTTTACAGTCTGTGGTACATGCCATACCCCTTGTCCCTCCATGAAGGTTCTTCATCTTCCTTGTCATCACCCTTGGGTTTCTGCTGCCTAAGGTATTCACTAAGCCCTTCATCTTTGGGGGCCATCTTCCTGATGTACACTTGGATCTTTGTCGTTTCATCCTGGACAGTGGTCTTGACACTCACTAGCCCTCGGTTTCCCTCGCTACGCTTGGTGTACAGTCTCAGGGTGCTGGATTTGGGGTGAAACCCTCCGTCCATTGTGAGGAACTTTGTTGTCTTGATGTCAGCAGCCTCTATCTCCTCCTTTGGCCAGTTTATTATACCAGCGGGGTATCTGATGACTGGCAGGGTGTATGTGTTGATGGCTGGGATCTTGTTTTTCCCATTCAGCTGACTTCAGGACCTTACTGTCTGTAGGTATTTGGCTGTGGTGGACTTCCTTGCTGCCTCCTCATGGTTTCCGTTAGCCTGCGGCACCCCAAGGTATTTGTAGCTGTCCTGAACATCTGCAATGTGGCCTTCTGGTAGTTCAATCCCCTGGGTTCTGATCATCTTCCCTCTTTTTGAGACCATGCGACCACACTTGTCCAGTCCGAACGACATTCCAGTGTCGTTGCTGTAGATCCTGGTAGTGTGGATCAGTGAGTCGATGTCTCGCTCATTTCTGGCATACAGCTTGATGTCATCCATGTAGAGGAGGTGACTGATGGTTGTTCCACTTCGGAACCGGTATCCGTAGCCAGTCTGAGTGATGATCTGGCTGAGG